AGTACAGTGTGGTTGAGTGAGTTGTGGGTAGTAATTGTTATAGTATAGTGTGGTTGAGTGAGTTGTGGGTAGTAGTTGTTATAGTACAGTGTAGTTGAGTGAGTTGTGGGTAGTAGTTGTTATAGTACAGTGTGGTTGAGTGAGTTGTGGGTAGTAATTGTTATAGTACAGTGTGGTTGAGTGAGTTGTGGGTAGTAGTTGTTATAGTACAGCGTTGTTGAGTGAGTTGTGGGTAGTAGTTGTTGTAGTACAGTAAAGTTGGGTGAGGGGTTTGTACTAGTTGTTATAGTACAGTGGGATTGGGTGAGGGGTAGGTAATAGTTGTTGTTTGTAGGTTTGTTTCATATTTGCAAACCTCTGAGCTGTTGTCCGTGAACGTGTAAATGACTTCACAGATCTCTGTGCAGTCTTGGTTGATATGTATATGCGGTTGAATCATACCTACAATCACAATATTAATATAGGTAGCTGCTTTCTGGGTCTTCATACAGATTTTTGGGAAATAAAAACCCTAAAACCCTAAAACCGGTTGCTAGGCAACTGCTGGGGTATCGTTCCTGTGATAGCGATTCACCGTATGTTTCAACTTATGAGCTTGTTCTGCTGCGCGAAACTCAGAAGAAGGTCAGCGCCTGAGCCCATTCGCACGTTCTCGCTCACGCACTTTAACTCAAACACTCCTGCCATCCGACAGTACAACAATACGACAGCTCGTATTACACTGACGAGCAGACAGACTTACATATTTTGAACAGACTTACATATATGCAACAGACTTACATATATGCAACAGACTTTCATATATGCAACAGACTTACATATATACAACAGACTTACATATATACAACAGACTTACATATATGCAACAGACTTACATATATACAACAGACATACATATATGCAACAGACCTACATACATACAACAGACTTACATATATGCAACAGACTTACATATATACAACAGACTTACCTGTATACAATGCTTGTATCCTATTCTACATCTTTCATCAATGCCCTGTGCTTGAGTCTCGCACCCGGAGATAGAGTTACAGAGAAGATACAACGGGCAAACATGACAATACGAACAATACGATAATACAACACGGGTCAAAATCTAAACCCTGCTGATGCTGTAGATACAGAAACCAGCATCAGCATACTCACTTGCACTGAACATCTCTCTGTGGTGCCTCCCTCCCGCAGGTCGATGCGCAAGCGCTGCACCAACGGCATGCGCCTGGGACTTGCGCACGAGTTCCAACACCGATACGACTTGGCCATACAACAGTACAACATCGTCAAAGAATGGATCAGGGAGGGGTTCACTCTGTTGAAGAGTGAGCACGGATCAGCCCCGCCCGTGAAGTACGAGGCACTGGCGGAGACCAATGGAGATACGACTATAGCCAGGTACACGACACACGAGTATAGGGGGGGGGGGTTTTGCGGGTGTTTGGGTGGAGATACGACTATGGCTAACTACACTACACACGAGTATGGGGTGTGAGGGGGGTGTGTGTACTTGGTGTTTGGGTGGAGATATGACTATAGCCAGGTACACTACACACGAGTATGGGGTTTGAACACTACACACGAGTATGGGGTCTGAGGATGTGTGTGTGTGCTGGTGTTTGGGTGGAGATACGGCTATAGCCAGGTACACTACACACGAGTATGGGGTGTGAGAGGAGGTGTGTGTGCTGGTGTTTTGTTGCTGTCTTATAAGGCACACATTTGATATGGGGGCATAATACGTAGTGAGATATACGCTATCACGTTTTAACACACGAGTATTGAGTGTGAGGGTGTGTGTGTGTGCTGGTGTTTGGTTGCTGTCTTATAAGGCACACATGTGATACGTGCTAGCCATATGCGTATAATACGTATTGAGATATACAGTTATTCCAACCACAACTCTCCTGTTCCCGTTTCTAACAATACCATTTGACACCGCACAGCAGTGCCATAGAATCAGCCCCACTAGACACGTGCAAATCGAATGTTCCGGTTTCCGCTGCGGATAAAGCGGGACGGGTGGCGCCACCGGCGGAGGCTGCCACGGAAGCGCCGGACGAGTATGTAGTGTGGGTTGTCGCAAATTCGAATAATGCACTTTACTATTTTCGCATATGGGGGGGGGTGTGTGTTCAGTGTTTGTATTGGTTTTAGGGTTCAGCTAAACCCTAAACCCTACACCTTATCACCCTAAAACCCTGGAAACTCCTCGGGACGATCGCTCGTTCTGAATGAGCTCCCAATCTCTGTGGGTGCGTTTACGTCTTGCCATGGATTGATGCCGCCTATTGCCGGTCTATTATACCGGATATGTACTTGTAAGTTGCACTTTCTTTAGTCATCGCATCGTCTATAGCCGGTCTATTATAAATGTACTTGTGAGTTGCACTTTCTCATTCCTCGCATCGTCTATTGCCGGTCTATTATACCGAATATACACTTATGAGTTACACTTCATCTTCATCGCATAGTCTATTGCCGGTCTATTATACCGATATGTACTTGTGAGTTGAGCTTTCTTATTCATCGCATCTTCTATTGCCGGTCTATTGTACCGGATATACACTTGTGAGTCACACTATCTTACTCATCGCATCAATGTGCCAGGATCAATACACACAAGTGTGCTGCAGTGACAGATGTGCCAGTTAATGAGAGCACGCACAGTGAGGTCCAGCACAAACGCAGGAAGATACAGGCGCAAGAAACTCAAGAACAAGAAGACAGTGGACGCATAGTCCAATTAGATGCCTCCAATGGGGGAATTCAGGACGGGTTGATTGGCGGAGAAGCGGAGGATGAACCGGAGATGAAGCACATGAGCACATGGGTAAATGGCGAATGGAAGACGTGGTAGGTTACCACATAGTATATATATATATATATATATATATATATATATTACTACACACACAACACACACACACACACACACACACACACACA